TTTGCCCTCTGGAATATTATATTCTAAGCCCTGAGGTCCCTTAATGTAGAAGCTGCTAAATCTTGTGTTATCCTGATTGTGTTTCCACAATACTTGAATGGTTTCTTTCTGGCTGCTTGTAATATTTTCTCCTTGACCTGGGAGCTCTGGAATTTGGCTACAATATTCCTAGGAGTTTTCCTTTGGGGATCTCTTTTAGGTGGTGACCGGTAGATTCTTTCAATTTCTATTTTGCCCTCTGGTTCTAAAATATCAGGACAGTTTTCCTTGATAATTTTTTGAAAGATGCTGTCTAGGCTCTTTTTTTGATCATGACTTTCAGATAGTCCAATAATTTTTAAATTCTCTCTTGTGGATCTATTTTCCAAGTCAGTTGTTTTTCCAATGAGATATTTCACATTGTTTTCTAATTTTTCATTCTTTTGAATTTGTTTTACAGTGTCTTGATTTCTCATAAAGTCACTAGTTTCCAATTGCTCTATTCTAATTTTTAGGGAAGTATTTTTTTCACTAATCTTTTGGACTTCCTTTTGCATTTGTCCAATTTTGCTCTGTAGGGCATTCTTTTCTTCATTGGCTTTTTGGACCTCTTTTGCCATTTGGGTTAGGCTATTTTTTATGGTGTTATTTTCTTCAGTATTTTTTTGGGTCTCCTTTAGCAAGTTGTTAACTTGCTTTTCATGATTTTCTTGCATCACTCTCATTTCTCTTCCCAGTTTTTCCTCTACTTCTCTTACTTGCTTCTCAAAATCCCTTTTGAGGTCTTCCAAGGCCTGGGACTGATTCATGTTTTTCTTGGAAGTTTTGGATGTAGGAGCTTTGACTTTGTTTTCTTGTTCTGGTTGTATGTTTTGATCTTCTTTGTCACCAAAGTAAGATAATATTGTCTGACTCTTTTTGTGCTGCTTGCTCATGATCCCAACCAATTACTTGAGTTTTAAACACTTTGTTAAGGTAAGAATCTGCTTCCAGTGTGGAGAATGTACTGTCCCAAGCTTTGGGGGTTTGCACAGCTGTTTTCAGAGATACTTCCAGGGACCTGAAAAGTGTCAGTTCTTCCAAGGTGCTATGATTCGGGGAGAGATGTTTCCTCTCTACCGCCACAACAAGCTCCACCAGGTCAGCGCTCTTTCTTGCCCCAGGACCGCCCCTCAGAACTGTGACTCAGATCCTAGCACGGGCAAAGCAAGAGATTTCTTCCTCAGCTCTGGCAAAGAGATCCTTGCAATCCCCTTCTGATCAGGCTCAGAAGCCAGCCGTTGCCCCGAGGGCACGCTTTGGACTTGAGGCTGAGACCTAGCTTCTTCTCTCACCGCAGTCACAGACTTTTCCCACTAACCTTCTAAGTTGTCTTTGGCATTCATGGGTTGAGAAGTCTGGAAAGTGCCACAGCTGCCCGCGATTCAGTCCTCTGAGGCCTGCTTCAGGCTCACTGCGGCCTACACACCCACGCCAAACTGCACTCCTCTCCCTGCCTGGCGCAATATACCTTTCCCATCAGCCATCCAGGTTGTCTTGGGCTGGAAATTTGTTTTACTCTGTTTTTTTGTGAGTTCTGCTGCTTTAGAATTTGTTTAGAGCCATTTTTTATAGGTATTTGGAGGGGTTTGGGGGAGAGCTCTAGCAAGTCACTGCTTTCCCTCCGCCATCTTGTTTCTGCCCCTTGTGTCGTTCTTTTTCTAAAGATTAAAAAATTATAAATTGAAACTGAAATTTCAAAATTGAAAAATAAAAAAAGCTCAGAATGCAGAATGAAAGAATTTTTTTTTATATAGCCAATGTGGAAATTTGCTTTCATTGATTTTACATGTTTGAAATTTTTTAGTTATGTTCTCAATTAGGGCAGGGTGGGACAGGAGAGAGAGAAGGTAGATCCTGGCTGATAAAAGTAAATAAAACCTAAAAACAAAAGTAAAAATAGACTGGAGTTAGGTTGTAAAAAATTTCAAATGCCATATTTAGAAGTTTTGTATTTTATCTAAATGGTAATGGAAAACTAGTAAAACTTCTTGAACAAGGGTATGACATGATCAGACTTGTACTTCAGGAATAAAAATTTGGGATCAAAATGGAAAAAGAGTTGAAGACAGGGAAATTTAAGGTAGGCAAATCAGTTAGGACACCTTTGAAATAATTTTTTCAGGTCGGAAATGATAAGGGTATGAATGAAGAGAATGGGACAGACATATGAGATGTTGAGAAATTAGAATCAACAAGATTTAGCAATGAATAAGAAAGAGGAGTGAGAATGAGGTATGAATGATAACTTCTAGGTCTTGAATTTGGTTGGAGTATAAGAATAGCATTGCCCTGTATAAGAATAGGGAATTTGGGAGATGTGCTAGATTTGGGGAATAGGAGGTATGGGTGATAATAAAGAGTTCTGTTTTGAAAGTGTTTCTTTTGATATGCCTAAGGCCCATCAGTTAATAAGAGATGCAGGACTTGATCTCAAGAGATATATGAAGACTGGATATGTATATTTTGGAGTGCTTTGCAGAGAGAAAATCCCCGCTATCTTATATCATCTATGTCAATTGTACTAGAGCTACTGATTGATTGTTAGTCATAAGTGATATTTATACTTAAGAGTTCATGCTCTTGAAATGGCATCTGAATCATCAGATAAAGTTAAATTTTGCCCAATTTTCATGCTAAATATTTTATCATGTGTCTTTGAAACGTGTTAAGAATACTGATGCTCAACTACTCAGTATGCTCACTCTTCACAGTCATTTTGGGTAAACGGAAATTTACAGTAAACCTTATTTTTCTTTATCAGACATTAAAAAAGTAAATGTAACCAATAGACATGAACCATATTTTACTCTTGGAGTTGATGTCTTTTAAAAAGTTGATAAATTTGAACAGGTTCAGGATATAGTTGTAACAGGCTATATCAAGTGCCTCAAATAAAATCTGAAGGCAACATAGGGATTTAAGTATATTCAAGAGGTATTAGGGGTACTGGGAAGGTTCTGGCATGACTTAGATAAAGACACTTCACTATCCTTCACAATAAACCAACTGAAATCCTATTTATCTGTTGAGATCTTCTAATATCATCTCTTCAACGATGACTTACCCTGATTTCCTCAGAAAAAAGTTTTTACTTCCTTGGCTTTAATTATTCCCGTCAGATTAATATCTCCCTCCTCAAATATTTCATAGCATCATATCTTGCATTATAGTTATCTGTTTGTATGTCAGCTTCCTTATTAGAATATGAGCTTCTGTGTTGTTTGTGTGAATCTCCTATTATGCCCTATAAATAGTAGGAGACACACTGTGCAATGACTAACTTTGATAGATTTAGCTCTTCTCAGCAATGCAAGGATCTAAGACATATCCAAAAGTCTCAAGACAGAAAATATTATCCACTTTCAGAGAAATAACTGTGGAGTTTGAATGCAGGTGGAAGCATAGTATTTGCTCTTTTTTTCTTCTGTTTTGTTTTGTTTCTCCTCTTTTGTGGTTCCTCCTATTGGTTCTAATTCTTCTTTACAACATGACTAATGTGAAAATGTTTAATGGGAATGTATATGTAGAGCCTTTGTCAGATTGCGTGCTGTTTTGGGGAGGGAGATGGATAGGAAGGGGGAAAATTTAAAACTCAAAAGCTTATGGAAGTGAATGTTGAAAACTAAAAATAAATTAATTTTTTTAAATAATAGGAGCTTATTAAATGCTAAATGAATTAAACTGTAAAATAGAAACTTCTGAATTATTTTTGAAATACGTAATGAAGATTAAAATGTCTGATGCCCTTCAGTGTTAATAACTATAGCTACAGCTCATCAGTAAAGTCTGATTGGGGTAAGAGTAAAGGCCTAGTGAAGAAAACAAATCTATGCAGAAAACAATTAAAAATATTATCAGACCAGATATTATAGCCAGCAGTCAAGTCCATTGCTAAAGGCTATGAGTGTCAATCAATGAGACAAGTTGGGTCAAACAAACATTGGGAATTCGAAGGGCTGAGATGGTTTCTGAAGAGCATGTACATTTAGAGCTACCTAGATATGGTCTGGCCTGCTTTGGGAAGTGGTGGGTTCTTTCTCACTAGAAGAATATAGGAATATGGATTTCAAGTTTAAAGGGACCCCAGCAGCTATAAAGTCCAACCTCTCATTTTACAAAGAAGGAACTAGGCCTATGCAGTTTAAGTGACAAGTAGTAAATTGAAGAACCAGGATTAAAATTCAGGTCCCTTGACTCAAAATCCAGCTTTCTTTTGGCCTCACCATCTTGCTTGGTAGAGGTCATCAAGCAGAGACTGGATGAACGTTGATTAGGCATATATTAAAGGGGATTCTTCTCAAGGAACAAATTAGATTTAACAGCCTCTATTGCCCCATATATAACTGGGAATTGATGATTCTGAATATGTGATGAAAGAACAAATGATTTTCCCAAGTTTACACATAATAAATGTCAGAGCCAGAGGTAGAAACTCAGGTTTTCTGGCTAAAAATTCTGCATTCTTCCTACCATATCTTATATCTAGCATAGTAATTATGAATGGTAGGGATTGATGAGTCTGAAGATTAGGAGTGGGGGTTAGAGTTTAAATTTAGTGATTGAGGGTAATAACCAGCTCAAGAGTTTAAATTGGAATCATGATTTGTTAGATTATATGAGATGAATTCTTATCCATAAATCTCATTCTGCAGAATTAAAATTTTCTTCTGAAACAACATCTAATACTATATAGAAATCAGATGTTAGTACTATGACAAAAAGACACTGAGGTCACATGGAAAAATTAAAATTAGAAGGAAGTTTTAAAGTTCAACAGCTATTACCAATAACCATATATTTATATTTTGTTCTGGCTATAAGCTCTTCATGAAAATAAAGCTGATAGATTAAAATAGCATAGCAATATTTACCATAATCTATTAATATTCTGATGATAATAGTAAAATAATGATAAAAACTAACCTTTATGTACTACTTAAAATTTTCAAAATATTTTTACAGATATTATCTCATTTTAGGTCATGACTATTGGTTAAAAATAAATCTTCAAGGCAGCTTCAAACAGACCCTGAGGGAAAATATGGTTTGAGCCTGGAGACAACTGTAAGTATGAGCAAACTAAATCATTCCAGAGTAAAATATAATCTAAAGTAACATCAGTCTATTAAAATACTCTATTACAAAAATGTCACTTTACTATATTCTCCTGGAAAGCATGTGTTTGGTTTTTGTTGTATTATTTTTACATTTTAATACAATGTTTCCTGACTCTTTTAGGTTAGCTCAATCCCTTTAATTTTTATATTGAGTATCAAAAAATATTGCTGGCAGAAGAGAAAGAAAAAAAAGATTTGTCATTTGGACCGTTACCAGCATTAGAAGACAAGGACCTCCAGTGGGTTGGTGACATTGTTTCTCTTCATTAATATTGTGTTGTTATTATAAGAGGTGAAGAAATGTATATGTAGAGCCTTTATCAGATTGCATACTGTTTTGGGGAGGGAGGTGGATATTAAGAGTACCAAAAAATACTGCTGATAGAAGAGAAAGAAAAAAAAAAGATTTGTCATTTGGACATACGCATATTTGGGAAGTGGTGGGTATACATGTGGAAAAACAATTTGAACACTATTAACTGCATGTTCTACTAACACTATCCCCATAGCAACACTAATGACAGGTTTCGTGGTAAGAATTGACTTGATTTTCATAGCTCAATGGCTAAGATTTGTCTTTAGCAGATATTTTCCCCAGAGAACATTTCTCATTTTCCTTATTGTACATATATATTGGCTCAATTGAAGTGTCATTTCCTAGGCCAGGAGTGGGGAACCTGTGGCCTCGAGGCCACATTGTAGCTTCTAGGTCCTTGTGTGCAGCCTTTTGATTGAGTTAAATTTTAACAGAACAAATCCTTTTACTGAGGGGAATTGTTCTGTGACGTTTGGATTCAGTCACAGGGCTGCACTTGAGGACCTAGAGGGCCACATGAGGCCTTGAGGCCACAGGTTCCCCACCCATGTCCTAGGCAAAACCTTCCTTAGTTCCTGTGCTTATTAATATTCACTTCTTCCTCAGTTTATCATGTATTTACTTATCTGTAAATGCTGAATCTTCCCTATAGGATGTAAAGTCTTGCCAAGTCAGTGACTTTGTTTTGTTTTGTTTTGCTTTGTGTCCTCAACATTTATCAGAGCAACTTGAGAATTATAGCATTTAATAAATGTTTGTTATATTGAATTCAATATATACATATGCTAAATATAGAAAAGTATAAATACCAGATATTTACACGTTGATAGAAGGATCCATGATCTCTTTGACTGGGATACTTAATGCAGAGAATTCAAACTGTTTAGGTTTTCTAATCCCCTGAAATTCTTGTCTATTTTTAAACAAGTCTTTACTAAGTACTAGGTACTGTGCTAAGCACTGGAAGGAGAAAGAAAGAAAAAGAAACAAAGAAACAAAGAAAAAGAGAAAGAAAGGAAGGAGGGAAGGAAGGATTGATTTTGTAGGAGCAGATAATTCTTTTAGTGTTAGACATGTAGGGATAGATGTCATTTTTACAAATTCTCCATATAGGATTTAACCAACACATGGGAGGTCTTCCTTTAGTTCCTTTGAGCTTTTGTGAGAAAAACATTTGTAGCAATGATTTCCATTTTCTCTCCTTCATTCTCACTACATGACAGACCCAGTTGTCCATGCACTTAACAATATATTTTATGAGGCAGTTCAGTGGCACAGTGGAAGAATGCTGGGCCTAGAGTCAACAAGACCTAAGTTTAAATCTGACCCCTGACACTTAATATACGTGTAATCCTGGACAAATTACTTAATATATATGTAATCCTGGACAAGTTACTAGTTTGCCTCAGTTTTCTCAACTGCAAAATGAGGATAGTAACAGTACATACTTCATGGGTTTGTTTTGAGGATTAATGAGATAAGTTTTGGAAAATGCTTAGCACAGTGCCTGACAAATAGCAAACACTATATGAATGTATAAGTCCCCCCTCCCTATGCTACTTCTCTGCCCTTAATAATAGGTTCTAGACTACATATGCCCAACACTATTTCCATTGTCCTTCGGATCACTCATAATTGGGATACTTCTGAGATCAAATTATTTTGTGATTTGCACCCTCTAGGAGAATAATTCTGTTGTTGTTTTTAATGGACCCTTTATCCAAGAAATAGATCAGACCATTTGAAAGCACTAAATAATTTCCCAAATGTGATCCTAATAGATTCTGACATCTCCTTACTGTCTATCTAAAATAATCTACCCTAATGATATGTACTAAAGATTAATTCATTGAGTTCCCACTAACTGTGATTATCCTAATAATGTACATTTTTCTTCCACTTGATCTTATGTGAATATCGGTCAAAAATTCATAACTCGTAAAAATACTGAAACAAAATATATTACTATGTTTGTTGACCTAATTCATAGAGAAGTCAGTCAACAAACATTTATTAAGTGGTTACTATGTGCCAGGCATTGTGCTAAGTACTGGGGATACGAGAGGCAAAGATAGTCCCTGTCCTTGAGAAGTTCACAATCCAGTAGGGGAGGCAAAAATCGAACAAATATGTAAAAACAGGTCATGTATAGGGTAAATCAGAAATCAAAAAAGAGAGAAGGCATTAGAATTAGTGAAACTGGGAAAGGCTTCCTGTAGAAGATGATAGTTGGTAGAGATAAGAAGGGACGGCCAGAAAAATGCCTGGAGCCAATAGAGAGGGAGATATTGAAAATAAGCAGTAGAATGGGGTACCATGGGTGGGGCAGTCTACTGGAGGAAACAGAGTGGAATTGGGATCCCTTATGCAGGTAAAGGGGTTAATGTTGGTAAAGAGAAAGGTCGTCATATTAGCATCATCATGTGATACAAGAGTGAGAGTGGTAGAAGGCATATAAGTGAAATGAAATGGAGAAGAGAGGGGAGAAGAAGTTCATGGTTCATTTCCTGGTTATGCAGGCCTTGGATAATTCCTGTATATGTCAGTCTAGATGATGAGTGGACAATAGTTCATAGGGAAAATAATTTAAGTAATTTATTTACCTAAACTACTGAGGTGTCAGCAAATTAAATTCAATACCTTCTACTGAAAAGATATAGAAAAAAATCCATGTAGAGTGTTCACTGACAAAATTTTTGTGTTCTTAAGTGCATGTAAAATGTTTATGTTGATAGTTCAACTGAAATAAAGTATTTAATTTTCAAATCAAAGAAGTTTAATGATAATCATGTTATTATAAAGAGAAAAATGTAATGTAGAAGAATTAAGACAAGAATATTTCCTGATCTATAAGCAAATACAGGGCATAGAAGAGTAATTACGGGGCAAGATGGTATGTCCTGAATTAATTCTGTTTAATATTAATATCTTTGTTTCTTGAACATAAATGCTTTTGTTATTTAAACATATAAATACAATTATTAATTTGTATCTACATTTGTACTTTTGCCATCCTTAAAAGTAAAATGCACATTTGTATGTGGATATACTCAAACACACACATATATTTATATAACATAAATTGAGCATTTAAAATTTTATATTCAATATTGACATCACATTCTTTTAATTTCTTTGTTACAGAAGGATCTCATTTTATATGACATTTTAAAGTCAATTTTAATGATGGAAAAAAGGGGAATCCTGGTGTTTCTAATTCTCTTCACTGTTTTTAAGGTAACATTTTCATAACTCAATTCCATATTTGTGTTTAGTTTCATGGTGCTAGTAAAAGAAATGAACGGTGCTCCAGATGCCCTGTTGTACAGAGACATTTTGTATAACTTAGTTTGATTCAGTGCATGAATAATTGGTTGAAATCATAGTATCTCATTAGCACTGTGCTAGCTTCTGTGGAAGGTATTAGAAACAAAAACAACAAAAAAGCTAAAAACTGACACCCTCAGGAACATTATATAGCAATTTGTCAGAATCTAAAAAAAATAAGTTAAATTAAGCACCTGTATATTATCTTAACAACCTTTGCTTTTTTTTTTTTCAACGATTGCCGGGCTATAGCATCAAATATGAGTTTTCACAATGATTAATTGACCTAGCTTGTAAGATAGGACAATCTATTCAAATTTCTCCTTTCATTCTTGACCTCATGTTCACATCAGATTGCCACCTTTTGATTTGTTTTAAAAGTTTATTTTCTGTGGTTTTTGTTTTGTTTAAATTCACAGTTGCTTTGTTATCTTAAGGTATTCACCGCTATTCCTCCTGCAAGCAAATCAGTGGCCAACCTTTTATTTGCTTAGAGACATTGGAAAAGTACATAATAGACAAAGATATAATCTGCCTCAATATTAGCAATGGAGTTATGCTATAGTGTTTCTAAGACAACTCTCTCCCCCCCCCCAAAAAAGAAAGAAACTGTCTGTCCTAGTTGCTTATATTGATGGACAAGCTCAATAGGTTGTGCATCTAAATTAGGCCTGCACAACCTGTGGCCCGCAGGCCACTTACTTGTGGCATACCAAAGAATTTCTGGGTAGGAAAACATCCTTTGTATGTAGAGGAAATCCTTTGCCCTGCAGACTGCTTACAGCTTCAAGCCACCGGTTGCAGCAGGCCTGATCTAAATGCTAATGAAATCACAGGTCAAGTTCCCATACTTATCTGCATAAATATTTGTATCAATCCCTCCAGTAAAAGTTCTTTACCTTAGTATGGAGGTTACACTGGTTTCCAAAATATTATTCTATAGCATAATATAAATATAAGCTCTAGCAGACCCCATCAGGTTGGAAAAGCTTCAAAAGAGTTATTACATCTCTCTCATCTGAGGGTCACCTTCATAGGGATCATCACTAAGCTGACCCTAGAGTGGTCATTGTATTTTTAGCCCATATAACTCTCAAAGAACAAAAGCCAATATCTGAAATGTTTATCAGCATCATTAGAGGGAATGCCGAAACTAATTAAGTGATTAAAGTGTTGATATTGATGAACATATAGTGAGAGGCAGCATAGCAGAATGAGTAAGAGGGAAGGCAGGGAAGTCAGAAAAATTAACCAGAAAAGCTACTTCTGACACTTATTGGCTTTAGTGACCTTGGGCAAGTAATTTAATCTACTAGTACCCCCACACCCCTGACAATGATGTAAGAATATGAATTTTACAGCAAATGTTGTTATGTAATTAACGTACAATGTAATGTAATATACAATGTAATGTACAAATAGTTAATAATAATAAACAATAATAACAAAATTTAAGGTTCACAAAATGCTTTACAAATACAATTATATTTTATCCTCACAACAATCCTAGCAGCTAGATGCTTTTATATCTCCATTTTACTGATTAGTAAAATTAAGTAGACAGAGGTTTAAGAGATTGACCAGGGTCACACAGTTAGTAAGTGTTTCAGGTCAGATTTGAACTCAGGTCATCCTCACTCTAGGTGAAATGTTCTATACACTGTACCACCTAGGAGCTCCCCTCCAGAAGATTTCTCTGACAGTGAAATCAAAGGTCAAGTTGATAGAACAAAACAGAAATATGTGCAGTGCAAACATATATAATAGTATACATTCCAAATATAATGACAGCATCCTACATTAACAAAGGTCTATGGTAGAAACTGTTTATGAAGTTTCTTCTTTGATTTTTAGCCTTTGGTCATGGCTGAACCAGAAGGAGGACAGAATTTTTCTGGAGAACCAACTCAGTTGGGTGTTACTCGAAATAAGATTATGACAGCCCAGTATGAGTGCTACCAAAAAATCATGCAAGAACCTATTCACAGGACAGAAGGTAAACATCTTCATTTTACAATGAGAAATTGTGGAGTAATATTAATATTTTAAGTTCTTGAAAAAGAAATGTTGAGTCTAATTTTTTTCAATTTTTCTGGTATATTTGCAAGTTTATTTACTTACAAAGATTGTTTATGTTTCTAATATATAATCTCATTATTTCAGTAGATAATTTATTTCACTTACATGGGTCTTCCCTCCAGTGGAGCAAACTATGGCCTATCCACATCTTCTTACCCTTTTGGCCTTTTGTCAGTCCTCCATAAAGCTTCCTCTGGAACTCTTAACTTGCCATGAATCCCAAGACAACCCTGACTATGCACCTCACAATTTAAAAAAAAAAATTGTGAAAAACAGAAAATATTCCACCTGTCTCTAGGGATATGCTGGGAAATGTGGGCTCTCCAAAAATACACAGCATACTTTTAAGTTAAATCTGCATTATATTTTCTCCATAACTTTATTAAATCTAGATAATCAACAACTACAGCAACAAAAATAAATAAATCAATCCCCAGTTTTCAATGTTTGCTGATTTCTAGGTTATAGATTTTCATACTGAAAATTTAAGAATAAGCCATTGAGAGGCTATTTGAGCTGGCTGCTGCAGATCCCTACCTACATCCTTTTAACAGTCAATTTCCTTAGAAAGAGAGTACAACTATGAGATGCTCTGTAACTATGTCAGGACTGTTTTCTGGCATAAGATCACATACTTAAGAGGTAGAAAGAACCTTAAAAATTATCTAGCAGATCCTTAATTTTATACAGCAGTAAAATTGAGCTTCAAAGATGTTAAATGTCATGTCCAAGTTCCCACATATAGGTAATAAAAAATAGAGATAGGTTTCACCACACTAGGCTTTTGATTGCTACATGGAATTTTTCTGTGCTATGATATAATTGCCTCCTACAATATATAAAATATAAATCCAGTCTTCCCAAAGGACAAAAAAACTGTGACAAGAAAATAAGTTAATAGTGACTTATTTAGAACTATTCTTTAAAATTATTCTGGATTTCAGCCACCAGGATTTCTCCTGATATTCATAGAAAGCTAGACTATATGACTTTCTTCTTAAAATATCAAGAGCTGTTTATTCTTGGACTTAAACCTAACATCAACTGGAAAAATAATTTGCTTAAAGTTTGTTGCTATATTTGCTCTTAGGTCCTCCTCTACCTCTTGGAAAATATTTTGGAAAATTAATGGTACTTCATATTGCAACATACTCCGAAATTAGTCCCCCAATGCCACTGACCATCTGGGTCCTTAGAGTTGCTAAGCTGCTACTTTTTCTCTAAGAGTTCCCCTGAGGGACTGGGGTGGTGATGGTGTATTTCTAACATTTATTTCACATTTCTAATACTTTATCTTATGCTTTCCCTCCCCTCATTACTAAGGATATCAATTAGCCAAATTTCATTAGCTTTTAGAGAGGAATATTTACTGAGGCTGTATAGTGAGAAGAGCTGGTACAAAACACCCCTCACCCCAAACTTTTTTTTAAACCCCAAACTTTTTGATACACTGTCCTACCAATACACATAAAATCCAGAAGAAAATGAACTCATACTTAGAGACTCTGTGACAAAGAATAACTTACAGCTACTGGAATTCCTTTTAATGGAACCCTCAAGATATTCCCTAGGCATGGTTTGACTTTTCTCTCCTTGTAGAGGTTTGGATCTGCCTTTTCTCACCATGTCTAATATATCCTTGGTTCCTGATGCATACCCTCTCCCAAGACCCTTTTACTTTGGGAATGCTGCTAGTATGCTGATGAAAACGTCCCAAATTTCTCTTTTTTAAGTTTATAAAATCCTCCTCTGACCAAGATGGGGCCAGGGGTGGATGGGTTCAGGAGACAGAGATCAAGGCAGAGGTTGAGTCCAGGTGTCTTCTCCTCCTCTTCCTCCACAATTATTTTCTTCTCAGGATCATGGCTGTATGGTTTTCACCATACATTTTAAATCCTTGAGTCCCAAAAGGATCTACTGTTTTATAAATGACCCATAGCATATGACCAAGTTTTCTCAATCAAGCTGAAAACACTCTATGTATAACATTACCCCAGTTCATCCAATGTATTTCAAGGAAGTTTAAATTGTTTTTGAAAAAAAAATTTTTTTTCACTTAGTCTACAACCTATGATTAATTGCTATCTAGGCCTTGTACACAATTAGTTCATACTTCAGTTGATTTTTTCCCCTCATCTGACAAAGATATCAGGACATAGTATGTTGTCATTTATTTTAAATTGGATGGGGTTGGGGCAGCTAGGTGGTGCAGTGGATAGAGCACCAGCCCTAAAGTCAGGAGGACCTGAGTTCAAATCCAGCCTCAGACCAAACACTTGACACTTGACTAGCTGTGTGACCCTGGGCAAGTCACTAAACCCCAATCGCCTAAAGAAAAACAAACAAACAGACAAACAAAAACTGTATGGGGTGATTTAATTAAATGATTCAATCAACCCTACCCTTGTGCTATCAACCACAAGGAACAAATTCTCTCATTTGGGGGTAAACAAAAGCCATAACTATTTTTTTATTGGATAGTTTTCAAAAGGACTTTTAAGGTTAACTAGAAGAAATTATTATAAGAAACAAATACATTGCTAATATAATTGTAATTCAATTTACGGATTTTTTCTCTTCCCCATTGTCTACAAACATCATTATGAATATAAATGTTTGGCAATCAATTATTATTTGCTGACTCATGTTTTTGCAATAAAATAATTATACCAATTTTAATTATATAATTATAATCATATTATTAACATCATAATATATCAATGTGGACATCACAGCTTCATAGATTTCAAACTGGAGGGAACTTTAGAGATCATCTACTCCAACCTCCTCATTTTAGAGTTGAGGAAACAAATTCCAAAAAAAATTCCTTGTCCGGTAGTATAATTGACTTAAAAAGATATTTATTTTACATGTGATAGAATGAAAAATGCAATGTAGCATACTGATTTTCTTAAGAAAAACGTTACCTCTCTAAACCCAGTTAGCAAAAGCAGATACATTTGTAGTTGCAAAGTCCAATTGTATTTCAAAAATCACAAGTTAGTATAAGCCAATAATTGAATGTATTAAAGAAAGTCATGAAGACCAAAGTTTTACTAAATAAACAAGGTAATCTTGAGGAGACAAAGCTGAGATTAGGAACAATTTCTATACTCATAAGCCCTTTCCAGTCCCTCCTACTTAGAAATGTTTTGAATAAGTGTCCTAAATTAATCCAAAATTAAGCTATTGCTACTAAATGAAAGCACTCATTCAGACACATACACACACACACACACACACACACACACACACACCCCTATATGTATGTACGTATATGCATACCTGTATATTTTATATGATGGAATTGAATAACTCATCAGATTAAAACTATAGAAGTATCAAAGAAGGAGAGTATTGGTTTGTGTTATAAGCAGAGTGTAGGTTTTATTCTTACATTTTCTCTATTCACCTGGCAATCTTTACCCACAGTTCTTCATTTAGTAACCTTTCCTGTAGGCTCAAATATAATATAAAATACTAACATGTACATATATTTATATATACATATACATATATATGTTGATGCTAACCAGCAAAGTATCTAAACCCTGAGAAAAATTATTGGGTTTTATTATTTTAAAGCATAAATTAAAATTTTACATTTCAAAATCTCTTATTTCTATATTATAAATACCTGAGGAATAACAGAGTCAAAGCCTGTTGAAATACAGACAAAATGAGGATGATTTTAAGGTGGCTGTCTTTATTTTCTGTTTCTGGTCTTCAGTGTACTTCAACATCAGCATTAACTAAGGAATTGGTGCATGACACCATGAGAGTTTGTATTATGAATCATGATTAGAACCACAGAAAAGATACTTATTGAATCTTGAGTCAGAGAGCTCATGTTCAAATCCTACTAACTATTCTTACTCTTTGTGACTTTAGGCAAGTCATTTTATTCCTCTGAGCCTGTTTGGACTAGATAACCTTAAGATTCTTTGTAGCTTCAGTTCTGTGATCACCATTTGTCTACTTAATTCCTTAGGACCTTACTGCAATAGGACCTGGGATGGCTGGCTGTGTTGGAATGATGTTGCTGCAGGGACTGAATCAATGCAACATTGTCCTGACTATTTTCAGGATTTTGACCCTTCTGGTAAAAAAATAAATAAATAAATAAAATATTTGTTATCTGTCTATAATGCTGTCTTTATATATGTTCATTTGTGTGTGCATATACATAGAAAAGTACATGAGATAAATTTCCTATATGAATTTTCTATACTCTATTGAAGAAAAAGACTGCTTCATTATGGTTTTCATTTGTTTCATTCACAGAAAAAGTTACAAAAATATGTGACCCAAATGGAAACTGGTTTAAACACCCAGAGAGTAACAGGACCTGGACAAATTATACTCGATGTAATATCCATACCCACTTGAAAGTACAGGTATATAATACACAGACACATTACTATTCAGTATGAGTTCAACTATAGCAACATGTTGGTTCTTCAGTTCCATGTTCCCATGTGTGATGTGTTTGCAATCTCCTTCAGCACCCCCCTTTTAAGAAAAATTTTTTTCATAAGCAGAGCATATCTTCATATTCATATCGTTTTTTATTTCTATCAAAAAGTGTGTGTAGGTGGAGAATGTAGAAGGACAATAACAAAGAAAGACCTTGAAAAAAGAATTATTGAATTTTCAAGTAAGGAGATGGTCTTTCTCAAGGAATGACAGTGTATGCTATATTTTATACATTTGAAGAGAAAAAACAGCTTGAGGGAAAAGAGATTCAATGAAGACTGGGTTCTTACTTTCTCATGGTTTTTAGTCTGTTGATCCCAGAGAGCAAAGCCAAGAGTAATAGTAGAAGTTGCAAAGAGTCAAATCTAGGCTCTCCATTGATGTAAACGTCCGGACTATTATAACTGTCCAAAAGCAAAATCGGTTTCCTGGAGAAGTGGTGGGGTTCCCTACTTTGGAAGTCTTCAAAGAGAGGTTGAATGGCCACTTCTTAGCTATGTTATCATAAGGATCCCTTTCATGCATGCGTTGAGCTAGAAGGCCATTGAGGTCCCTTCCAGATCTTAAATTTTGTGATTTTGTGAATGTGAGGTAGACTTTGCAAATTGGTGTTGAAGTGAATTTTTGTAGATATTCAGAAAGCCTGTGTTTATTGTAGAGGTGGATGTATAATTTATTGTCAGTGGGCCATATCTGTGGTCATGTTCAATGAAAAAAGAAAAGAAATAAAAAGCATTGTACATGCTACTCCCCTTGCTCCTCATCTCTGCCTCTTACAATCCTTCATGTCCTTTAAGGTTCAGCTCATGTGCTACCCTTTACTAGAAGCTTTTCTTCCCTTCCTCCTCCTTAAATTGCCATGTATATACTTATCTATATACCCATCATATCCTAATAGAATGCAAGCTTCTTGAGGGCAGTAACTGATTATCATTTTGACTTTGTTTCTCTGATACTTAGCTCACTGCTTTGTATACAGCAGGCAATTTACAAATACTTTTGGTATTGAATAATGGGGGAAAAGTCTTACAGAAAATTCTTAATTATTTTCTGACATTAGATCAATGGAATTGTGTCTGTTTAATGTATAAAAAAGTTTTATAAACACATGAAACTTTTGACACTGTGAATTCATCATGTGGAAAAAGGAATGTGATTCTGTATAAATATTGATAAATAGAGCATAATACAAACCTCTACAATTATGTAGAGGTTAACTATTACTGCAGGTATAAAATGTCAATATATTACCACATAGCAAAAAAATGTATTTGCTTCTCACAGGATTGCTATGAGATTAACAGAATTCATAAGTATCCAGGGGCTATAAGATTATCTACTTTGTATTTTATATTAATTTCATCAATTAAATTAGAATTTGCATGCATGTAACAGATACTTTTAGCATTGGATCTTTCCCAGAACACTTTAACTTGAACTATAATTTCTTTCTGCTTTTTGCATGTTTTTCCCCAAAATTACAGACGGCATTGAATTTGTTTTATCTTACCATCATTGGACACGGATTATCTATTGCATCACTGTTGATTTCTCTTGGAATATTCTTTTATTTCAAGTAAGTAAAGATGTATCCTGTGTGTATACTTAAGGGCATTATGGTCATTCTCTGTTGAGATATGATTGTGCTATGCATGTATGCAAAAATAGAAAATGTATAGATATTTAAATGCTGCCAAAAGAGAAGAAAATAATGTTCTTATAACATTTGAAGTTCAGAATAACTCGTGGGTGATGCTGATAGAATTCCTCAAGAGACCAAGTGTGATGAGGAGTAAATTAATAACCTTTTAAATAAATTTCATTTTTGTCATCAAAAACATGCCAGATAATTTTAGTTTTGTCTGTGCTTTCAATTACTTTAGTTTAGTTTTTTGTTTTGGCTTTTTTCAGAACTTTACTTTGCTAGGCCACAGACTTTTCAACTATATTTTCTTCTTAGAGCATGACTGAACAGAGCAATACCTAAATAACAGGATTCATGGAGAGTGACAGTGGCAACATATTATACTTTGTATGTGGTGACCTTTCTGACTGTATGTAGCATTTCCATGGTATAAGCAGACTTACTATTAGTGACGATTTTAAGGAATGTTTGACTAAAGAAACATTTATTAAGTGCTTACTATGTGCCAAGCACCATGTAGAGAAATCGAAAAATTGAAACGGTTCTTACTTTCAAGGAGGTCATATACTAATTGGGTTAGACAACACATAAAAGAAAGTTCAACATCAGGGCAGAGAGAATGACCCAGAGATCCTATGGGTGCAGCAGCAAGGCCTAGACATCATTAGGGTACATCAATGTATCAGATAATTACGTACCAGGGGTCTGGAGGACACAAAGTCAAGGCAAATTATAAGGTCCTGAGCAGTTTAGAAATCCTTGGTTTTCTCAATTTTATCTAGAATATTCTGTCTTTCCTCCTTCTATTCCCTTTTTTGGCCTTTCTATTCTTAATCTTTAACAGCTTCAGCAAATTATCTGGTGAACCAAGAGACTGGTTTTCTAGTTCTGACTGCCACTTACTAGCAAATATAGCCCTCAGAAACACACTTCCACCCTCTGGCACTGAGTTTTCAATCTAGAAAATGTAAGGTTTAGGCTAGATGATTTCTAAGTCCCTTCTAGCTACAAAATTCTCTAAGTCTATAAGTTTAACAGTCTATAGACAGAGAAAAATGTGCTGGAAAATATGATTCAGGAATAAAGAATTAGAGAGGACAAAGACTTAGACTACATAAAAGCCTCATGCCAATATGTCATGAATACTTTGTTTTAAAAATTTAGGAGGCTAGGGACATGGAAAGCACCAAGTTGTATCAGAAAAACTAAAACTGATTATATTTCAATAGAAAGCAAACTACTCATTCTAATGTGGGAATTATTCCTGGATCAATTTTCTATGTACACATAAACAACCTAAAGCAAATGTTAAAATTTATAGAAAAGTAGAACTAATAGAATGAATAAAATATACAACATGTAATAAAAATAATTTGAACTTGATCTGTTTAAACAGCTTCATAACAAATAGGTAATAGATAGAAACAAGGTCACAGACCCCAATGTCCAAAAAAAAAAAGAAAACAATGAATTGACCAGTAAAAATCATTTGCTTCAAAAAAAATCCTAAAATGAGAGGAAATTCACCAGAAAGAATAGAGAGCTAGCCTCAAAGTTTCAAGTCCTGTCTTCCAAATACTTTCAGATATGACCTCTGGGAAAAATCACGTAATCTCTTAGTACCTTAGAAAACTAAGAGAAGGTATTGGTCTGCATTGACAGAGGAATTTCCTCAACTGGCTCTCCCACACAAATGAAAGAACAAATTTTATCACACAATCAGAAACGCACATATAACACTTGTTTGCAACACCCTATGGAAAAGGACATTGGGAGATTGTGATCACTGTTGCATCATAAAACAAGAAGTCATCACAAGGACATATAAGGATGACACTGGGAGGGTAGCAAACAGAAACAAGATGAAAAGAGCTGTAAAGGTTTTTATAACAATCTCTTTTCACCATCAGCACACAGTGGCATACCACAATTAGCCTTGTGTAGCCTGATTTGGAAGTTATTAAAATATCGATTTGTACTGTACTTCAGAATACTCAAAAATGTTTATTCTATTCCATTTTTGGGTCAGACTAGCTCAATAGTCTTACTATTTTAAAATATTGTCCCAACAACCATGTTATTTCAAATAGTTACATGAGAGAAATGGATTCTATTACTTCTACATATAGTAGGAGAGCTGGATGGCACAGTGGATAGAGCAGTACCAAGTCAGAAGTCAGGAAGACCTGAATTCAAATCAGGTCTCAGACACTTAGTACTTCTGTGACCATGCAGAAGTCACTTAAACTCTGTTTGTCTCAGTTTCCTCATCTGTAAAATGTAGATAATGATAGCACCTGCCTTTCAGGATTATTGTGAGGATCAAGTGAGATAATAATTGTAAAGAACTTAGCACAGGGCATAGCACTTATTAAATACCATACAAATTCTTCTATTTTATTGAATTTTATTTTTTTGGATATTTATTTTATTTTATTGAAATTTTATATGTCCTACTCACAGAAAATACTAGTCAATTTGTTGAGAAACTTCTTTTTCCTCTAAATAAATTGAACTTTTAAAAAATAACAATCCCCAATGACTTGATCATCTATTTAAAAGGAATGGAAAGTGTCCCACATTCTGAATTTCTCTAAAATAATTTCCTAAAGAAAATCTTCAGGAAGGTTTATCATGACATTTCCAGTTTTGTTAACTAAATACAGCATGCAATAGAACTGACTAAAGTTTCCAAAATGTTCAGGGATTGGAAAAGAATAAGAGAATTCAAATCACTAAAGAAAATCGAATTCTCTCTATACCTTTAGGTACTTTAATGTGATGCAATTGTGTAAAACCTCTAGTTTATGTTGCTTTATTCTAATAAAAATGAATTTACATTTGAAAATATAAACCCCTTTGTTTCAGAAGAGCAAGAGACCTAAATATGGCAGAATGAATTTCTCTAGAATTCTCGAGCACGTCACAAATCATATACTGCTTTATATGATCTAATTTGAACTCCTTTACTTAACCACTGCATTTTAAAAACTATTTTATTTAACAGACTTTTAGAAAAATAACAAAGGGTTTCGAGAGGAAAAAGCAATTACAGACACTTACATAGCATGAAAGAACCATTGCTTCAGGACTTTAAATCAACTCATTCAGTCATGCTTAAAATAGCTTAAGTTTGATCTTTGTAACCAAGAATGAAAAAAAAAAACAAATATTTTCTTTAAAAAGGTAACAGGTAAGATATTGCATTTATTAAACAAACAAATCCAATGTTTTATGAAACAGATAATCCCATGTGGTGCATGTGAAAGGTCCTCTTGAAAGAATGTATAGGTTAATGCATTAATGTTAACCTTGAAGAAGCTTTCTAGTTGTATCACAAGAGTCTGTCCTTAGTCTAGTCCCTTTCGCCATGTTTACCAGTGACTTGGATGGAGACATAAAAAGCATGCCTATCACATTTGCAGATGACTGAAAGCTGAAAAGGATCATTAATTACTAAAATTATTTTTTTGTTCAGTCGTTTTTCAGTCATGTCTGACCCTCTGTGACCCCATTTGAGATTTTCTTGTCAAAGATCCTGGAGTGGTTTGTCATTTCCTTCTTTAGCTCATTTTACAGATAAGGAAACTGAGGAAAATAGGGTTAAGTGACTTACCCAAGGTCACACAGCTATGTCTGGGGTCAGATTTGAGCTCAGGAAGGTAAGTCTTCCTGACTGTAAGCCCAGCACTCTATCCACTGTGTCACTTAGCTGCCCCTACATTTAACACCTAAAATGATGAGCCTAAATTAAAAAAAGAAAAAAAAATACAGTAATGTCCTGCTTTTTGGTAGAAGACATCAACTTTATAAGAATAAGGGAGATATAGTTTATCTTTTTTTTTTTTTTTTTTGCGAGGCAGTGGGGTGGAGTGATTTGCCCAGGGTCACACAGCTAGTAAGTGTCAAGTGTCTGAGGCTAGATTTGGGAGATATAGTTTAACAGCAATTCACAATAATCATTTGAGTACACTTCAAGCTCAATGACTCCAAAGTTTTATATGGCAGACAAGACCAAAAAAAAAAAAGGAATGAAAACTTAGACCAAGGGAGATAATGTTTTTCTTACACTCCTCACTGTTGAGAGCACATTTAGAGTATTGTGTTCAGTTTTGGACTACGCTGTATGAAACCAACATCGTTGGTTGGTTATACATTCAGAAAAGGGTCATCAGGATGCCAAAGTGTCTTCACACAATGTTTTATGAGGAGCCATTGAAGGAACGTTGATTGTTTAGCCTAGAGAAGAGAAGGCAGAGAAAACATAAGAGTTATTTTTAAGTACTTGAAGGGGAAGACTAGATTATCTTGATTTTCTCTAGAGTGAAGAATTAGTACAAGTGGGTAGAATTCACAGGAAGAAAGATTGTGGCCTAGAATGAGTAAGATTTCATAATGAGAATGGAATGGAATGATTTGAGAGGTAATGAAATATTTATCATATGTTTAATCACAAACTATGTGCTTCCAGTTCTGGATAATTGTCTCTTACATTGGATTTAAAGGATAAATTAATCTATCTATAGATTTTTTTTCAGGCAACTAGGTGGCGTAATGGCTATATAGCTACAGACCTGGAGTCAGGAAGACTCATATTTGTGAGTTCAAATCTGGCCTCAGACACTTGCTGTTTGATCCTGGACAAGTCACTAACCCTGTATGCCTCAGTTCCTCATCCGTAAAATGAACTGGAAAAGGAAAGGGCAAACCACTTCAGTATCTTTGCCAATACGGCCCCCAATGGAGGTCACAAAGAGTCAGGCATGACTGAGCAAAAGCTACTTAGGGGGCAGCTAGGTGACACAGTGGATAGAGCACCACTCTGGAGTCAGGAGGACCTGAGTTCAAATCTAGCCTCAGACACTTGACATTTATTACCTGTGTGACCCTGGGCAAGTCACTTAACCCCTTTTGCATTGCCAAAAAAAAGT